GCAATATTGATATTATAACATCTAAGCTATCATTTAATTTATAACATAATAACTATATTTTTAAGTTCTGTTCAAGTGCACATACTGCTTATAGTTTCTATATATATATTTATAAATAGCAATATAAAAAGTTAATTCTAAAAAATGATTCAAATTTAATATTTTTTTAAAGAAGTCTTATTACTATTGAAAATATGACCTATTTAAAAAGTGTTTGGTCTCTTCATTAGAAAGATCTTAACTTACTTTAGCATTAATGCTTTGTTCAATGACATTTTTTGGTTTTGAATTATCGCCAATCGATGCGAACTTGGAACTAATGACCAGTCCATTTCCGCACTTCCTCTTCATGCTAATCAAGTGATTTCATAATTAAAGTGATATCAGTGATTGCCAGCTTTTCCTATTGTCGATCTGCTTAGACACATCCTGAGGAAGTAGTAAAGCTGGTAGCTGCCACCAACGAATATTCTTATTGTGTTTTATTAAGTTTAATTTAATTCTTAACTTATTATTTTTTGCAGATCATAGATCAGTCATTGAATAATTACGAAGCTTATGAGGAATACACAAATTAATCAGTGGGATGGGTGGGACTCTGCAGAAACCCCTCGGTAAAGGCTCAACATCAACATTTAAAAAAAGACTTCAAATATCGTTTTTTTATTATAATAATTTTAACTATTCAATCATCCTCATTAAGAAATATGACTATATCAAACTAAAATCAAACATTGAAACTCACGATATTTTTATGATTTATTTTGATATATTAATAAAAATAATAATAATTATTTGAAAGAATTAAAAATTTGAGTCTTTGACTTTTTTAATATCAATTCCCAGAATGGAATAGTTTTAAGCATATATTAACCAAAATTTTTTTATGTCTCTGTGTCTAATAATACGTTATGTATTATTATGCCCGACTATGTATTACATTATGGTACCTGAGATAAATACCTATTGTTATTAGGCTCTTTGTCATAATGTCTCCTGGGTATGTCGTTTAATTATTTTTTTTTGTCAGATTACATGATACTTGCATGATGTGCAGATTTTATGATAAAACCGACTTAGATAGATTAAATTAATTAGATGTTTAATATTTTCTATGTTTTATTTATTTCGATAAATTTTAATGATTCCAGCAAATTCAATTTTCAATGAACTTTTAAAGAACTTAAACCATAGTGCATTGATGAGCTCTTCCTGCGGAAACCCCATCTTTCTTAAGCTTGAATGTTAGAACCATTAAGAAATTTTGTCTCAACGATAAGTTTTTACTTAAAATACTGGTGATTCACATATACCTAAAATTAAATTCTCTCCTTTCCTTTGTTTATTAAAAACTGTGTTCGAAAAAAGTATATATATTTTATTTTATTTAATATTAAAAACTGCATACAGAATGCAGCACTATTTATCTTACCTGCCATTAGTTTCTTTATATTAAAATATACAACAATTGTGGATAATGAAAGTAAATATTTATTTTAACAGGTTTCAAAATTATTATTATAAATACTGATTGTCATACATTGAACTAATGACTAAAAATAATTTCGATAAAACTTTTAACAAATTAAAAATTCTATATTTATATATATATACTACATTTATTTTTCTATTTGACAATTAATAACAAAATTGATGTTTTTATTCATTCTCTTAAAATTTACACAAAACTCAGATATTAAATTTTATAAATTTTAAACAAAATATATACATTATAAAAAGATTATGATCATATGTTTTATTTTTTTTAAAAACAATACTATATTTAACTTATCCTAAATGTGATTTACAATGTAATTAAAAGTAACAATTAAATTAAAATATATTTCAATATAAATTACAAAGGCAGGAGCAAAACATCTATAATATTAACCTAAAAAACCGTTAACAAGCCAATACGATTTATATAGAGATAGCGAAAATCAGTTAAAAGTTGTAGCTTCT